TACAGTCTCAAAGGCAACATAGCCAACCTGGAAAATTTAAATGTAAGATAAAATATATAGAAATAGGCAAGCCTTACTTTGACCCTGTAACTTTGGAAATCACCATAAAACATACACATGGAGGGTACTGTTATACACAGGAGACTTCACTGAACACAGATATTTGTTTCAAAATAGTAAAACGTATTACAGCAATGATATTGTCAGTGAAAGTAAAAATATTGCATAAATATATACATAGAATTAAAACATTTTAAAATATTTTTAAATGGATTTTTATATATAAAATGAACATAATTCTAAGTGTATATTATATATATTGAAATACACTTAAAATTATAGTCTGTAAGTGTATGTAAAAGTACTTTGAATATCTCTCTCTAGCTCTGTACTTTTATGTCTGTTAATAAATTAGAAACCTTTTTTTACTTTCAAAACTTTTTTTTTTTTTGCAGGCATATTGGGGACTGCCTAACATCCCAGGCAGTCCGGCTGCAGGCAAAGTTGCCTGCAGGCAGCTATTCCGGCAATGTGATCACGAGCCCAAAAAAATAAATAGCCCAATGAGAACATCTATTTAGGGGTGGTCCTTTTGTAGAACTCTCTCTGTTGCTTCAGGTAAGATAAAGCCTTTTCACTCACATTCTTAGGTTCCCATTTTGTATTTTAAATAAAGACCAGCTATTCCCTTCCCATTCCTTCATCTCCAGATGTCATTTTAAACTCCCAGCAGAAAGACAATGTGAAATGGAGTCAGTCCATGTTTGGAAGGATCTGCTGTGCATTCACTTATCAGAGAGCATTTTATTTTGTAAATATAGTATAGAACAAATAACATTGTGTGTGGCATGATAAAATAACGTTGTATAATTACCTTGACACAGATAAAGTAAAATCACAATTAAGGTAAATTAGGTTAATAAAGATAAATGCTAATGAAGAGAGGGATGAAAATTTATTTAATTTATTCTTTCGAAGTTCTTTTAAAGTAAACCATGTTTCTGTTGAATGAAAAGTTTGTTACTACAAGGTGGAATTTTAGCGAAAATTATAATGATGTAAACAAAAACAAATCTATGATAGAAAGATTTCTGGGTGGAGAATTTCTAGTACAATAAGTATTGTCAACACCATGAACATTTGAATAATTATTATAGAACGTCATGGTTGATAACACATCCTTTGAATTTTTAAAAGATTATGAGACTTATAAGTAGCGATATATTTCAGTTAGTGAGAGCCTACTGAATATACAAATTAAATACTATGATTGTAAAGTACTGATACAATCGTAACTAGGTGGTATTAATAGTATAGGAATGTAATTCATGAATACAAATGACCTAAACATTTTAAAGTTCACTAGAAACCATATGATTCGTGGAAATATAAGTGGACGGGATAATATAGTAATATATGTATTAGTACTTCAGTAATATCAGTTCTTGAGAATGAAAATACTTTGTTATATGTAAGAGAAGAAACGTTCTGGTGTACCTAATGTAACACGCAGGGGAGAGGGAGTCGGACTAACACTAGCGGCTCAGACTGGGAACAATAGGGATTCACTACAAACCTATATAAGAAGGCAGGTAAAAACACTCTGAAAGACAGTGTACAAAGTCCAGGAGCTGACTAGTGACTGATGGCACAAATATAAGGAGTGCAAAATCATATGATATAAAATACAAAGAAGTGGGAGAATCAATAAGAATGATTATAAAACTTATAAGAATTATGAAAGATTAATGTGTACTGTGCCTTTAAATGGAATAAGGGATCATGAATAGAAAGAGGATGAGGGTAAAAATGGATAAAACTTGAAAAAGAAAACTAGGGAATAATAGTAGAAAATAAGAAAAATACGTAAGAAGGGAAAATGGAATAAAAAGAGACAAAATAAATAAATGAAAACTAATACTATAAGTCAAATGACTAGATCAGTATACAGCCAATATATGTACAGAACAAGTATCTCTATCCCTAATGTAGTATAGGGTAGATGATGACTGTTCCAAACAGTATAATTTGAAATGTCAAAGATAAATGTATCTGTACTTTAGCAACACAGTATGTGGAACTGTTCGCGCTTGCAATACAATGTATCACTGTAGACTGAAGCAATATAAAAACTGGATGTAGTATTTAAAAAAAAAAAAAAAAAAAAACTGTTTATTGTACAAATTAAAAAATATTTAAAAATAAAAAAGCAAAAATACAGATCAGAGATAATTTATAAATGCATTACCAGTCTTATGTAAGTCAGACGTAAGCAAGGACCTTCGAATTGAGTGAGGATGGATCTGGATTGAATTGACAAGTTAGCCGCCTCTGTTCCAGCTGCCGGTGAGGACGGCGTGGGTCTGAGTGTACGTCCCAACAAAAACCTCACTTCGAGGGACGAGCAGAATGGATGATCATGGTTCACAGGTGCGGTCAAAGGTCCTGCATGGGAAACAAACTTGTTGGTAAACGCTGTCTGCCTTTGTAGACAGATACATTCAGCAAGATACAGAGGTAGACGGCGTTTACCAGCAAAAGTTAGTTTCCCATGCAGGTAGATCTTTCTCATTGCTTTACATTGTGTATTGGATCAACATTAGTAAATATTTTATTCATTTGTTGTTATATGTATTATGTTGAAGTAGTTATGATGTAACATGGATATTAATACAGAGTTGAAACAGGGAGTTTGAAGGAAAGTAAATATAAGGGATAGAAGCTCGACCTTCTAAGAACTCTCATATAACAGAAAAGTCGTGACTACATCTTGTCTTATGCTCAATGACTGATATGAATGTGATACGAGTGATGTATGAATGGACAGGTTAGTAACATTGTGTTATGGTAGAATATGGTGTAATGTAGAATATTGTATATTCTGCTTCTATTGATTATTTATGGATGTCTGGATTTACATAAGCAACAGATGATCTCAATAAGTCACTAGGTTCTCTTTTATGAACTCTGGAATGTGGATTGGGGGTCTTGTCCTTATATGGACAGTTATACTCTGACGTCAGTATGGGCACATCTATTTAGTAACTGAACAAAAGGACACAAGTTGTCTGCTCTTGTACAGCTATGTAACTCTCCCTTCAGGAGTCCAGCAATTACCATCTGCTGTTGAACATCCATGATCATGTAACATCCTTTGCTGTTTTATTATTTACCAGTAACGAAGAATAAGCTGTAAGTCATTGCGTCTTCGTACTTTTCATTAATATAGATTTATATTAATGTGCAAGCCTTTGACCTAAGACTATATATACACACACACACCGCAAAAGACAGAAGAAACAGATGTTACAGGAACAAATCTATTTTGGGTAAAACAAAGGTTTCCGTAACTTAGAGTAAATGTTTTGTATTCTATTGCCTGTAAACGGTTACTCCCATCAGGGCCGGCCTTCGGGTGTGCAGCCGCACAGGGCCTCATGAACCAGGGAGCACCCATTGGCCGACAGTTCGCACATGGCCGGATGACAGGAGGAGCTAAAACAGGTACTTGGGTGGAGGATTTCACTAGTCTGCACCCAGGTCTATAGAAAAAATAAAAAAAAAATAAAAAAAAACCCAGTAGTGGTGGATCTTAACAGGCAACGGGGGCAGAGTTTATCAAGAGGCAGAAGCGGGGCTTATACCTACCCGAAGCTGCACAGGAAGAGGGAAGCAGGAAGGAGTCCCTGCTTTGCCAACAGCATCCACTACCCCTTCCAGCCAGAATGGAAAGAGGTAAGTCTGTGTGTGCCCCTATCATCGTGCATCAGTGTCTGCATGCCTGTAACTGAGTGTGTGCCCCTATCATCGTGCATCAGTGTCTGCATGCCTGTAACTGAGTGTGTGCCCCTATCATCGTGCATCAGTGTCTGCATGCCTGTAACTGAGTGTGTGCCCCTATCATCGTGCATCAGTGTCTGCATGCCTGTAACTGAGTGTGTGCCCCTATCATCGTGCATCAGTGTCTGCATGCCTGTAACTGAGTGTGTGCCCCTATCATCGTGCATCAGTGTCTGCATGCCTGTAACTGAGTGTGTGCCCCTATCATCGTGCATCAGTGTCTGCATGCCTGTAACTGAGTGTGTGCCCCTATCATCGTGCATCAGTGTCTGCATGCCTGTAACTGAGTGTGCTCTTATCGTGCGTGACCGACCGTCTTTAACTGAGTGTGTTTCTGCATGCCTGTAACGGAGTGTGTATGACTGTGCCTTTAACTGTGTTTGGCTCTGACTGTCTGCCTGTAACAGTGTGTGTGTGTGTGTGTGTGTGTGTGTGTGTGTGACTGTCGGCCTGTAACTGAGTGTGTTACAGGCAGACAGTCAACATATTAGAGTCCTCAAGTTTGTATCCTTTGAATGGAGTTGCGATCTATGCAACTACCCACCTGTAGTATTGACTGGCTGGGATTGCTTGTCACTTCCTCCCAGTTTCATGCAGACAAAGCCCCAAAAAGGAGGCAGCGGATGCAAAGGCAGCGGCAGCATGAGGGAAGAGGAGCTCAAAGACTGAGCTGCCCTCACACCAACATCAGTCAGCAGCAGTAGGGCCCAAAGCAAGCCACCCTTCTGGATGCAAAAAGTAAGCTAACAGGAAGGTGGCTGCAAATGACAGATTTGTGCACACACACACACACACGTGATAAGGGTGCGTGCACACACCTGTGTCCATCCAAATAATGCTATAAGGTATAAAAAGGGGAAAAAAAAATCCCATATAGATTTATATATGCAAATGTTTATTACAGATCCCATATAGGGTGCATTTACACATAGTAGGAGTAACATTAAATAGTATAAAAATGTTTATATAACTGAACATAAATTGTATTAAAAAGAGGAAAAGGAAATAAAAAGTCCCATAAATGGAAACACCTTTGTCATGGAAGCTGTTCAATAAAGAATTAAAAAAAAAATTTTTTAAACTGCGGTAAAATTAAAACCAAAATTTAGTCAAAAAAAAAGTGCGTGTTCTTTGCAATTCAATCCACTAGAATTCTGTGTCTAATGAGAAAAAAAGCCACCATTCCTCATAAGAGCGTTAGAACAGTTATAGGGGTTTGGAACAGGAAGCAAGTCTAGTGACAGGGGGTTAATTATTTGTGTAAAGGCTGCTCGCATTTTAGCCGCCTCCATTTCCTCCTTTCTTTGGCATGCCACCTCAGCCAGTATTTGCAACCTATTAATTTGTTCCTCTAGTTTAGATTCTCGGGCTGCAGCAAGCACAGGTGGTGGACATTCCTGTAGCTCCATCTTTTGGGTTGCATCAAGCACAGGTGGTGGGCATTCCGCTAGTTCAGTCTCTTGGGCTGCAGCAGGCAGAGGTGGATCGCATTTCCTGAGGTCAGTCTTTTGGGTTGCAGCAAGCACAGGTGGTGGGCTTACATCTTCTGCAGGATGTCTCTGAACTGGTTGAAATTTAAACCTGAATGGAGAGCCTCTTTCAGCCATGCCTTGAAGGAGATCATGGCCAATCCTGGATAGCAGTGCAAGGGGTGGGAATACTGTATAGGACATTGGCACTGCAGCAATAATGTTCGTGGGGGTAAGAGGAGGAGGAAAAGGAGGAGGAAAATGAGGAGGAGTTTGGTCAACCCTAATGCTTAATTTAGGGTAATGTGGAGGGATCGTTTTCTTGTTTTCCTTTTGTGTTAAGCCTGACGAACTTGGCCGAAGACCCTTTTTAATTAAGATTTTGTCCAAAATTCGCCGCCTGGCATTGATTAGCCAGTTACATATCTGTAAATAGAGAATGGAAATCTAAATCATATTTCCTTCCAAAACATAACTCACATGTCAACACATTATGTAGAACCAGTATTCCAACTGTAATACACATTTGCCAACATACTGTACTAAGCCCACTAAAACAAGGTACTACTATCAATCCAGTTATTCAACAGTTACCAGATGAATTTGCTATAACCTTTTGTGGAGTGGGTATTTGCAAAGTATTTTGATAAATTTTATTAAAGTATCAAGTTATGAAAAATGTACTTATTGATTCCTATCCTATGTTTGAACCTGATTGGTGTAACAAACCAGTCCCCCGATATTACAGATCGGCCAAAAGCCCAGATCATCCCCAGTCTATTATTCATATTAATGATTTTAGCCAGACCAAGGGTTTCTAGCTCTCTGAAACTAGAAGGAAAAAAAATGTGGTCTTGTCTAAAACTTAACTTTAGACAGACACATTAGTTATTATTCTGTAACTGCAAAGAAAGATACACAAATATAGAAACGTATTTTGCTTAAACTTGGTAAAGGATTCAAAAAACTAATTTATAAATACTTGGGAGTGCAAAAAAGTTTAGAAATCAAGTGTAACGATAACATCATTCCTTTTCCTACCAGACCGAATGTTGTTCTGCAGTGACCACTAGAGGTCACTGTGGTGACACATTAAATGTTACATTTTAGACAAGACTACAACATTTATTTATTCATACAGTTGTAAAATAGTAGATAAAATTCTGTAATACCTTTTTTATTGGACTAACAGAATTTTATAACGACAAGCTTTCGTGAGAACCTCCCTTTCTCAAGTCTAAAGCATTTCTCAGCAAAGACGGCACGTAGAATTCGTAGAAGTTGAGTTGTGATACAGAGGTTAAAGCAATACGAGTGCAGATAAGCCACAGGCTGATAGGAAAGAGAATGCTCACAAAGGGTCGTTAGAATCGAGTACATCTAAATTATATATATTTTTTTCTATTCGATTTAATATATATTTTTTAAAAAGGTGTTACAAGATACAAGTGTTCTGTTATTTTAGATCTGCATCACTGGAATAATCCTGCTACAATCTACTCTTTATTCATACAAGTAGACTTAGAACAGATTGAAGCGGTTCAGAGTGGAGACAATGGATATTGAGTAGCAATAGTCATCTAGAACAACGTTTTAAACATGCATGTTTAGTGTTTCCATAGTGATTGCCCCAAAGTACGATTTATATTAACTTTTTAATTGGGTAACAGAACAGTCTTATCACTTACCTGAGTGTTTGTTAGACCTGTGGACTTCATCAATTCTGCCTTTTCTTCGTCATTTGGGTAAGGGTACAGACAATTATCTGTGAGCCATTTCCGTAAAATATGAACTGCTGGTCTTGGCAGACTCCTGCTGTTCGTTCGGTCAACATTTTCGGTCAGTGCGTTTAAATGATCTACATGCATGGATTCTGCAATATTAGGAGACAATATGTTACAGATAGAAATATTATACCCCAAGAGACAGGCTCACGAGCCTCTGCAGGGGAGAGAGGGGATAGAGGGGGGCAGTAGCAAGAAGGAACAGAAATTAGTTGGAAGAGGCAGACGGAGCACAGAGGTAAAGTAGGAGGAGAAGGGAACAGAAATGATCAGCAAGGAGCAGAAATAATCAAAGGAGCACGAAGGTAGAGTATGAGCAGAAAAGAACAGAAGTGGCCAGCAAAAGCACAAAGGTAAAGTAGCGGAAAGAATCAGATGTTGCACAAAGGTAAAGTAGGAGAAGGAGCAAAAGTAGCAGAAAGGAATCAGAAAGAGAAAGGAGCATAAGAAGCTGAAAGGTAAAAGGAGACAAGGAGAAGAGAAGACCGTGTAGGAATAAAAGAAGACTGTGCCAAATGAATGAGAAGAGATTGGAGCAGGAAGGACAAGTGAAGTGATCCTTCCACTTCATTCTGGACCCCACATCACAAGGCTTTGGTCCCTGGGCCTGGCAGGAAAACTTTGGACCTTCTCATCACCCCGGGTAAAAAAAAATAATTCAGTGTTAAAGTGTTCATTTTTATTTACTGAGCGTCAGGAAGCACAGAGTGCCATTGGGTAGGGGTGCTGCAAATTGGTCAGCTGGCACGCTAAGCCAATCACTAGATCCCCATTCATAAAAAAGTAACTCTAGCCAATCAACGGCACCCATGCCCAACGTCAATCTGCACTTCCTGACACTGTTTCCGAAGCAGAATACCAGTGAGCAACCTGGAGCTGGAAGAAGCCTTTGGGTTTAAACTATGTGAGAGCGGTTTAACCCCTTAAAGGAAAGAACACCCAGGGGCCTCCTGGCATAGCCTTTTCATTTAGATGACATTTTTATATTAACTAGAATGTTCCTTTAATTTGCTTAAATGAACACTATATAGTGTCAGGAATACAAACATGTATTCTTGAGACCATAGTTGTGAAACCACCATTTACGTATCCTGCGCGCCCCCCCTGACCCCAACCAGACATAACTTATGAGGGAAACCCCCTTCCCCATTTCTTTTTACATTGCAACATTGCATTTGACACAAACTGAGCCATGAAAGAGTTTGACACTATTTTCTTATATAGGTAACATTTTGTAATGGATACATAGGTTTATAACCTTTTTGAAGTCAATATATGTTAAATACCCCACACACTTTTTTTTATATGCGGTTCTAAATATAGTTTTCAATTAAAAAAAAAAAGACTCTGCATGTCTTTATTGGGGGTTGTATCTACTAAACAGTGATTTATATATTTTTTATAATATGGGCCATGGAGTATTCCTTTAAAGGAGACTAAATGTACAAAAATACATGTTTATTATGCCATTTTGCGAATCATGGAGCTGCTGACAAGCTAAAAAAAAAAAAAGTGTAAATCATTCTGATATGTTATGGTGACTAAAGTGCAGGGCCAGATTAAGAGTCCATTGGCCTGGTGCTGACAGTTGGGCCTAATTACAGAATCTTATCGACAGAACACTAAAACCAACCTCCCAATCATCATGTACCTGGTGCTGGAGAGAAACTCACAGGATCTAGTTATAAGAAAACACTATGCTAATCTCTCGCTTTCAACTTTCAAGTAAAAATCATATGTTTTCAGTGAAGCAGGATGTTGGTGGGAGGGGTAAAAGGGTGGGCCACTGAAGAGTCATTTAACAGGAACCGCCAAAAGTTGTGAGCATGCACAAGAGAAGGCATGTCTGCCCAAAGACGAAGGTCAGCCTAGTTTGAATGCATGTCAGGCTTCCTGCCAATCATGCAGGCTGGCCAACAAAAGGCCTACTGTGCAGACAGCACTGAGCTTGGTATAAATGCATCCAATGATGCACTCGCTCCATGCTTTCTAAGGACTGTCCCCTAGCACTCACTTGTCCACTACTCTCCTAACCTTATTAACAGCCAGAAGCTCCTGCTATATAGTCTGGAACAGAAAAACGTGTCATGTAGTGAGTGTAGAAGGAAACATGCCACAATGTTAGAGACTGAAGCAGAAGAGCATTTGCATAGTGTGCAAAGTCAGCTTTACCTTAAAGGACCACTCTAGGCACCCAGACCACTTCAGCTTAATGAAATGGTCTGGGTGCCAGGTCCAGCTAGGGTTAACCCATTTTTTCATAAACATAGCAGTTTCAGAGAAACTTCTGTTTATCAATGGGTTAAGCCTTCCCCCAAAGCCACTAGCGGCTGTCTCATTGACAGCCGCTAGAGGCGCTTGCGTGCTTCTCACTGATTTTCACAGTGAGAGCACGCCAGCGTCCATAGGAAAGCATTGATCATGCTTTCCTATGCGACCGGCTGAATGCGCGCGCAGCTCTTGCGCTTTCAGCCGACAGGGCGGATCGGAGGCGAGGAGGAGAGCTCCCCGCCCAGCGCTGGAAAAAGGTAAGTTTTTACCCCTTTCCCCTTCCAGAGCTTGGCAGGAGGGGGTCCCTGAGGGTGGGGGTACCCTCAGGGCACTATAGTGCCAGGAAAACGAGTATGTTTTCCTGGCACTATAGTGGTCCTTTAACTAATTTAATTGTCAGCTAGTCCACACAAGTTGTTCCCCTAGATCCCTCCAAAGTTTCCATACTTGAGCAAGTGAAGAGTATTAAAACAAATTTTTTATTTTTTAACAAATGGGCTTATTCCTTGTTAATCAGGCCATGCTAAGAAGTGTTCCTTTCAAGCAAATGGCAGCTTGAGTTTTGTGTGAAGTCTAAAATGTGAAAGGCACTTTCATAGTTAGTCACAAAAAAACAGCTGGCTTCCAGACATAGCAAAATATGTTCCAATTTTGATCAAACATTTAAGACTTGTGTATGAGATTAGAGGAATTCAAATCAAATTACAATGAGAACATCTATTTAGGGTGGTCCACTATGGGAACTCTCCATATGGCTTCAGAAGAGGTAAAGACAAAATGGGAACTTTTATTCCCTCCCCAATCTTCCATGGCTACTGTCCAAACTTTTAATGGAGACAGTGGCCATGTTCAGAAGTACAAATGTTAATTCACTTTCCACTGTACAGGTTATTTTGCAATTATATTACAAAACAAATTGCAATATATACTTACAATAATACAGATCATACTCCCACACAAAGATATAGGTATTAATATGAGGATTTTAGTTTTAAAATAACTGGATTGATCAATAAACTAGGAATTATATACAGATGCAAAAGAATGGGTTAGTCCAAAATAAAGCTAAAAAATATTTTCACCTATGCTTTTTACAGCTTTTATATTTTGGCCCAATATTTGCAAAATATCTTTATATACCTTTATCAA